GCCATCTTGCAGTTCACAGTGAGAAGTTGGCAATTGTCTTTGCCATTCTGAATACAGATCCCGGGACGGCAATCAGAATTACCAAGAATCTTCGTGTTTGTGGAGATTGCCATATTGCTATTAAGCTCATCTCTAAAATAGCCAAACGGGAAATTGTTGTCAGGGATACTAATCGGTTCCACCACTTCAAGGATGGTATATGTTCTTGTGGAGATTATTGGTGACTTGTGAGCCTCCAACCACTAGTATCAAGATTTTGCCCCACACTTGGGACTTCTTAAAGCATTCAAGTTTCTGATAGAAACTAAAGGAAGGACTGTGAATGTTGACTGCAATGGTAGAACATTATGTGATTGTAGAGAACCCTTGCCGGCTGCAATCGGTCAGAGAACTCTAATATCTTCTCATTGATAGTTTGATACATATGAAATTATGAATTGTAATTTGAATATCTTCTACTAGTTTGATACATATTTTTCCCTCTGTCTGCTTGATAGTCTGTTGCAAAGGTGATAACTCGTCTTTTGGACATCGTCATTTCAGGGGATAGAGCCAAACTCCAAAGAATCATCATTTACATAATCTTTCTCATCAATTTTTTTTTGAGATATTTAGTCATATACCCATTCTTAACACACAAAATATAAATAAACTCTGCACCATTTAATTTCTATAAACAAACCCAAAAATAACCTACAAAATAGCAGATGGCTCAATTTAATTTAATTTTGATTATTAAATTACTTTGATACCCTATTGAGTTTTTTGGATTTTTTATGAGCTTTTGGGGTTGGGCTTGTTTTAAGAAATCGATGACAGTTTTGTAATTTAAAAAAAGTTAAAAGCTTCTTTGTTATGTTGTAAATAGACTTTGGGTGTGTTTCTAAAGTCTATTTCATATAGGGTATTTTTATAATTTGGGCCCCTATATTAGGTATAATGATGAATCTCCCTCTTTTTTTTCTCTTTCCAAAAAGCTGATTACAATAAGTTAATCAGAAGAACATTAGAGCAATGGTGAAACGGATTACATGTACACTTGGTCCTCCTTGCAGATGATTTTCTTTATTATTTTCTTTATGTTGTGGAAGCACCAGGAGACTGCTAGCATTGTAATTAGGTCAAAGTCCTCGGTCTCCCACCGCTTAAAGTCCAAGATATACAGCAAAGCAGCCAGACAATTTGGCAACTTCTTGGATGGTGCTGGGAATTTATGCTCCTTGGGATATAGCATATGCCATTTAGTTACAGCAGACAGTCCAAACGTACATGTGATGTATAATACAAGGTTACAAACCCTAGTAGGGTTGAATTAGGAAATAAGAGGAATCCTAATTACATAATATCTATACAAAAGGAAAAATAAATGAAACCCAAATAGAATAGGATATATCTCGCCAACAATTTGGGCCCCTATATTGGGTATAATGATGAATCTCCCTCTTTTTTTTCTCTTACCAAAAAGCTGATCACAATAAGTTAATCAGAAGAACATTAGAGCAATGGTGAAACGGATTACATGTACACTTGGTCCTCCTTGCAGATGATTTTCTTTATTATTTTCTTTATGTTGTGGAAGCACCAGGAGACTGCTAGCATTGTAATTAGGTCAAAGTCCTCGGTCTCCCACCGCTTAAAGTCCAAGATATACAGCAAAGCAGCCAGACAATTTGGCAACTTCTTGGATGGTGCTGGGAATTTATGCTCCTTGGGATATAGCATATGCCATTTAGTTACAGCAGACAGTCCAAACGTACATGTGATGATAAGGCAGTGTTGATTCTCCACGTATTGCTTCTAGATTGTCTCTCATAAATTTACCTGACTACATAACCTTGCTTGACGGTTTATCAGATTTTTGTCAAATTTGAAGGCCACGCAATTAACACGGCTACATTGACGTATATCATACAGGTCTATGTATCTATCTATCTAACTTTGTTTTTATTTCTATCTATCTTTCCCGGTCAGCTGGGTTGTCAATTTTCATTAGCTTGATTGACGGGATATAACATTGTATGAATAAAAGAAACTTGGACTAAACTTCATGGACCCAGATTTTGTTTATATTTTCCACATAACTTCAGTAAGTTTCCCACAGAAGAATGGCACCAATTTTTGTTTTGTCTTTTTTTTTTTTTTGATTAACAAAGAAGGAAAAGATTCATTTCTTATTTAGTTTTTGTTTGATTTCTAGCTTGATAATTCTGTTCAACAGAGTCCCACCCCCTCTCTCTTAGAATCTCAAAAGTTTTCCAAAAGCCCAGATATATGTTTGCTTCATATGGAGTTGGAACTTGAAATTCATGGCGGACTCGCACTGAGATATTCTGAAGCTGGTCTTGTGTTGCAGGTGGGGTCTGGTTTTATTCTCCGGAGGGTGTGTGAAAATCTACCCTCATATAAAAATGAAAGAATAAAAAAATGTAGAATAAGGGTAGAATAGGAAAAACAAAGAATAAAAAAATTAAAAATAATTAAAAAGTAATAAAAATCAAAAGGGAGTGTAAGTGGAGAAAATGGGAAGAATAAAAAAATGTAGAATAAGGGTAGAATAGGAAAAACAAAGAATAAAAAAATTAAAAATAATTAAAAAGTAATAAAAATCAAAAGGGAGTGTAAGTGGAGAAAATGGGAAGAATAAAAAAATGTAGAATAAGGGTAGAATAGGAAAAACAAAGAATAAAAAAATTAAAAATAATTAAAAAGTAATAAAAATCAAAAGGGAGTGTAAGTGGAGAAAATGGGAAGAATAAAAAAATGTAGAATAAGGGTAGAATAGGAAAAACAAAGAATAAAAAAATTAAAAATAATTAAAAAGTAATAAAAATCAAAAGGGAGTGTAAGTGGAGAAAATGGGAAGAATAAAAAAATGTAGAATAAGGGTAGAATAGGAAAAACAAAGAATAAAAAAATTAAAAATAATTAAAAAGTAATAAAAATCAAAAGGGAGTGTAAGTGGAGAAAATGGGAAGAATAAAAAAATGTAGAATAAGGGTAGAATAGGAAAAACAAAGAATAAAAAAATTAAAAATAATTAAAAAGTAATAAAAATCAAAAGGGAGTGTAAGTGGAGAAAATGGGAGTGGGAAAATCAGCTCCCTTTCCACATAACTTTAGTAAGTTTCCCACAGAAGAATGGCACCAATTTGTTGCCCACAAGACACGTCTGTCATACTTTTCTTCCCTAAAGCCTTCCACTCACCTATAAATATGCACCCTCTGCAAGCATTTTGAACCAAAACAAGAACCCAAACAGACATTCAACATGGCACTAAGCAAAACACAAGCCTCAGCCCTATCTTTGTCCCTCTTGATCATCATTTCTTTATGCAAGTCGTCCCAAGCTGGTGGGATTGCCATCTATTGGGGCCAAAACGGCAATGAAGGCACCTTGGCAGATACTTGTAACACAGGCAACTACCAATTTGTGAACATTGCCTTCCTATCAACTTTTGGCAACGGCCAAACCCCAGTGCTAAACCTGGCTGGGCACTGTGACCCAAGTACCAATGGCTGCACTGGTTTGAGCACCGACATCAAAGCTTGCCAAGCCAAGAACATCAAAGTCCTCCTCTCGATTGGAGGCGGTGCAGGAAGCTACTCTCTCACTTCAGCTGATGATGCAAGGCAAGTTGCTGATTACCTTTGGAATAACTTCCTAGGCGGTCAGGCCGATTCACGCCCCCTTGGTGACGCGGTTTTGGATGGCATTGATTTTGACATTGAAGCTGGTGGTGGCCAGTTCTGGGATGAGCTTGCCAGGTCACTCAGCGGGCGCGGCACTAAGTTAGCAGCAGCTCCACAATGTCCATTCCCAGATGCTCACCTAGACGGTGCTATCAAAACCGGCCTATTTGACTATGTCTGGGTTCAATTCTACAACAACGCTCCATGCCAATTTGCAGACAACAATGCTGCCAACCTTTTAAGTGCATGGAACCAATGGACGTCGACTGAAGCCAAACAAGTGTTCTTGGGACTACCGGCAGCTCCTGAAGCTGCTCCGAGTGGTGGATTTATTCCTGCTGATGCTCTCAAGTCACAGGTTCTTCCAACTATTAAGAGTTCTCCAAAGTATGGAGGAGTTATGCTTTGGAGCAAACAGTATGACAATGGTTACAGCGCTTCCATTATAGACAGCGTCTAGGTGTCTGCCTAGACACTTTCTGCTGCTAAAACAAAATAAGTTACCATCACTCATCAGTAGGTTTTCCCAAACCTACTGACCAGAGTTAATTACATGCACTTACGATAATAAAACATCTTACTGTCTGTATTAATTTTTTAATCGAATAAAATATTACTCATACCATTATCATTATATATCTTATATAGTTTATGTTCACTAAATTACTCTGGTGTTTGGTATTTCCATGCTTTCACGCCTCTTTGCAAAGCAAAGTCAATCCGATATATTTCTGGCTCCAAATAAGTTGAAGAGTTCTGACTGATGAGTTCATGAGCACTCCAATTTGCTCCGTGTAAACCTATTCCAGCTCAAACTAAGATTTTCTCTGAGGTAGTGGATTGATGTATTGGACCAGCATTAATCTCGGGCTTAAACAACCGCAACCACCCTTTTTCTTCTCCGTCATTCCCCATGACCACCACCGCAAGCCACCGTCCCTTTTCTCCATCTCTCTCTCCCTTTCCCATTCAAGCTCCCCCCCTCCCCTTTGTAATCTGTATCTTTAATTACAAGAAAAGGGTAAAAGATGAAGTGGGTGGGCTCCTCTATTTATTATATATATTATTTCAACATTTAAATTAACCAATTTGCCCTCATATTTAACGGCAAATTAGATGAAATGTTGAGATTTAGACGGTAGGAGGGGAATTAAGAATAAAATTTAGTTCGAGTCTTTAATTTTCTAAAAAAAAAAAGGTCAGAGGGTAAATTGATAATTATGTACAAGTTTATTGGGCATTTCAGCAGTTTACCCTACTAATTATGTCAAGCAAACCGTTGTAGTGGGCACTCAGTCTTATAATTGTCTAAACAAACAATTATCATTAATGTCAACTGAATCCATAAATTTGGAATCCCTCCATCCAAATGGAGCCGAAGACCTTATTATAAAGGGAGGGCTTGATCAGTCTTGACAATAAGAGAAAGCATACAACGCCTTATTCTAGCAAGCATGGCTAGAAATTCCCAAACTCCACTTCTCCTCCTTGTCCTTTCTACACAGCTGGTTCTAATCAGGCTCTGTCATGCCAGCGGCATCGCCGTCTACTGGGGCCAAAACGGGAACGAAGGTACTCTAGCCGAAACCTGCGCCACCGGAAAGTACAAGTACGTGAACATAGCCTTCCTCAACAAATTTGGCAACGGCCAAACCCCCGAAATCAACCTTGCAGGCCACTGCAACCCTGCATCCAATGGTTGCACCATTGTCAGCAGTGGCATAACAAGTTGCCAAAGCCAAGGAGTCAAGGTGTTGCTGTCTTTAGGAGGTGGAACTGGAAACTACTCTCTAGCATCACCTGCAGATGCTAGAGCTGTAGCAGATTATCTGTGGCACAATTTCTTGGGTGGGAAGAAGTCAACTTCGCGTCCCTTAGGAGACGCCGTTTTGGACGGTATTGATTTTGACATAGAGCTTGGTTCAACTCAGTATTGGGATGTGCTTGCAAGAAGCCTCAAGGCATATAGCAAGCCAAGAAGAGCTGTGTATTTAGCAGGAGCACCTCAATGCCCATTTCCTGATAAGTTCCTCGGGGGTGCTCTGAATACAGGGCTCTTTGACTATGTTTGGGTTCAGTTCTATAACAATCCTCAATGTCAATATAGCTCAGGTAACACTGATAACCTCATTAACTCGTGGAACAAATGGACCACGTCGATAAAGGCAGGGCTGATATTTTTGGGGTTGCCGGCGGCTCCCGAGGCAGCTGGAAGCGGGTTTATTCCGGCTACGGTGCTGAATTCTGAAGTCCTTCCGGTGATAAAGAAGTCACCAAAGTATGGTGGTGTGATGTTATGGTCCAAGTTCTATGATGATCAAAGCGGATACAGTTCTTCCATTATTGAAAATGTATGACTTTGTAGTTCCATGTTTTGTTTGGTAAATCCAAAACGATAATAATGAATAAATTCTATTTGGCCAAATGAATATTGTTTAATTTTGTTTACGAGGCTGACTCCCCCATCCCAACAACAACATTGACTTTTTGGGCATTGGTGTAATTAGGAATGTTAGCCATTTTTGTTTGACTTTGACCATCGCGACCTTAGTAAATTAAAAGTCTGCTTCATTCGTCCAATCCCAACCCAGCCATTATAAACTATCACCAAGATAACATTAAGAAACAGAGCATGATTATGGAACTCGTAATTTAAAATTGGGACGCCAAACTTGGCAACTGTTCCTCACAAGCAATGCCAGCTACAAAAACGGCTGGCGACGGATATTATAAGCTGATCCGTTTTCTAAATCAAACTATCAAACTATCAAACAAATTGCATGCATAAATTAAAAGTCAGCAGTTGGCCAAAGCTGTGTGCACTCAAGTTTGAATCACCCTAAATTAGATAAATTTAGAATTGTTTAGACAATCACTCGTAAAAAAGAACTAACAAATTAGACGGTTAAGTAAAGTTAATCGATTCATTCCAACTGCCAAATTTATAATTTAACATTCACTCACTGTTCTGCTACGCCAAATTAATTAGAAGGGGGAAAATCGGAGTACAAAAAATAGCAATAAGACACGAAAGCATACATAAAAGAGGGGGAAAAACAAACCAAGAAACTATTGCGGCAATTCCGCTGAAGTACACCAGAAATGCTATAATGACTCGAAATTATCGTGGTGTAAAGGCAGATAACTAAGTTACGAGGGCTCTCTTCCATCTCCATTGCATCTAAACTTTGCGCACTTGAATATTGTGAGTGGACTGGATCCGCCAAATGGGTTGTCTGCCACTCTGAACGAGTGCCACCTCTTCTCCTTCCTTTACCATGCCTTGCTTCTGTATATGAAACACCAGAAAATACATCAACAAAGTTGAAACGATCAAATAATTAAACATTAAATCCATTTGACAAGGGCTTTAAAATGGTTGGCATTGCTAGGTTGGCCCAAATCCAAAGCATTGACTGGTATGTTCCATGAAATTTTTTAAAGATAAATAACCAAAAATATGGTTCCGGCCAATTTAAATTATTCCTCATAAATTTAGGAAAATTCCAGCAAAGCATTACCTGCAGCACAGTCAAGGCATTGCTGAAACTTGTCTCAGCATCATCTGTGAACTCCATGTATATGGGACATACACCTTGATATAAAGCCAGTCTCTGTTGTATCCTCTTACTGCATGTCATCAAAGTACTAGATCAGCCAAATAATCAAATTCATATTCCTAATGGTAAGAGTATTTTAACTGATACAGTTACAAAATTTAAAATATTTAATATATCCATGTGCATGCAAGGGGGTAAAAAATCTATCAAGGGTGAAGTTGTGCTCCAACAAAACTCTGGTCAGAGTATCACAAATATGCCTTCGTAACAAATAACATGAAAACTCACTCATTTGTAAAGGCAAATACGGTCCCAGAAGGCCGATAATGGCTCAAAAGAATAGCCATGAAACCAGTTCTGGTAAAGACAACAATTGAGGTACCAAGAGTATTGGACATAATGGTTGCATGGTAAGCAAACATCTCACTCATGTGGTTCTGCAGAAATAAAGAATTCAAGTCAGTTTTTATTCTGACAAACAAATGGAAAAATTTGTCCAGATGGTAGGATGCTGCGTACAAAAAATGAATAAATAAATGTATGCTCCCTGACCTTGAAAGCTTTACCAAGATTGGCTGGCAATTCACCACCTAAGATGGTTGCCTCTGTCCGAAGTGCAACAGTGTGCATAACTTTCACGGCCTTCAAAGGGAACCTACATGGAAATGAAATCACTTTATTACATGATCCTATGGTCTAAATGACTAGACTATAGCTGAAAACTGGTTCCTATTGCATAATTCCGATAGCCACAACTTACTTTCCGTGAGCAGTTTCCCCTGAAAGCATAACTGCATCAGCGCCCTCTCTAACAGCAATGGCAATGTCTGATACCTCAGCTCTGGTTGGTGTTGGGTGAACAATCATGCTTTCCAGCATATTTGTTGCCACAATAACAGCTTTCCCCATGCTACGGCAGATCCTGATTATCTCTTCCTACATTTTGAAATATAAATCAGGGGGTTCAGAATGTAATAGATTAACTCAACTTAATGTTACAATCATGTTAACTGGATTGAAATTTCAATTGTCATATGTTTGTCTTTAACAACCTGCAGAAGTGGAACCTCTTCAATAGGGAGCTCTGCACCAAGATCTCCTCTTGCAACCATAGCCTAAAAGAAGATAATCATGTGTGAGTATTATCAGGCAAGGGTTAGAAAGTTTTATGTATATATTAAAAGAAAAGGATGGTATTTACATGATTTCCATATAGTAGTTGCATTTTATATTAAAAAATGTGTATTAAAGGTAAAAATTATCATACATTAAATTATGATATACAAAAAGTGTTTTTAACATGCAAATATTCAGGGAAAAAGCTTCCATTCATTGATTCAGGAGATTACCCCATCGGATGCTGTGATAATGGAGTGCAAATTTGGGATAGAGTCAGCACTTTCTATCTTTACAATAACGTGTATATCAGCGCCAGAGCCTGCAATATCAAATGGAAATACAATTATTTGTAAGCATTAAGCAAAAACGTGGTAATCAAATATATTTTGTGGATATAAGATAACAATATTTGGAATCTTACTTAGCAGATAATTCTTCAATTCATGTACAACTTGTGCATCTTTGACAAATGAAACAGCATAGAAGTCAACTTTATTATCCACTCCAAATTTAATATCTTCCCAGTCTTTCTCTGCAACAAATAAGTTAGACAACTATATTCATTAGCAAAACAGGCAATAAAGACATTTAAAAGAACATATGAATAAACTATTAATGGATATAATCAATAAATTAGGAACCTAACCAGTGATGGAAGGCAATGTTGCACTTTTCCCTCGCACATTCAAATGTCGACGAGACTTAAGCTCTCCTCCATCAACAACTTCACATTTCACTGATTCTTCTGTCTTGGACTTCACCAGAAATGACATCATACCACCTACAGCACAAATCAAGAGTCAGTGTGCATAAAAATATAAACATAACTTCAGTGGTTAACCCAAAAAAAAGAAGTAAAACTTCAGCATACCATCAACCAGAAGCATGTCTCCTGGTTCTACATCATTAACAAAATCATCATAGTTCACACTAACACAATCCGCTGTGCCAACCCCTCTACGAATTGTAAAAGTAAATTCTTGGCCACTTTCCAAGTTGATTGGCTGTGGCAGGTCACCACTCCTAACCTCAGGACCCTGACACAGAAGAACACATCATCAATAGAATGACTCCGATATAATCCAAATAGTAACACATCATATGTCAAATCAAACCTGAATTGGGGGGAAAATTTACTGACTTACGCAATGCAATGTTATGACTTGATACGGAAGGAATAAGAACAAACAATAAGGGAAACCTTACCTTGGTATCAAGCATGATTGCAATGACATTGTCTTTAGATTGCTCATTATATTCTTTAACCAAGTCAATAACTTTCTGATGAGAAGCATGATCTCCGTGGGACATATTAAGCCGGGCAACATTCATTCCAGCCTCCGCCAACTTCCAGATCATTTCACGTGTGTTTGTGGAAGGACCAATTGTGCAAACAATCTTTGTCTTACGTTTGACTACTGGCTTTGACCACATACCCACCGATGTGTCATCATGTTGTTGAATTGCCCGGAACTTCTGAAATTGATCCTCTATCTGATCAGCAACACCAAAGAAACTACAGTAAGCATAGATTCTAACTTGTATCCACAATTTCAACAAAAGCAGCCTCGCTCTACTCAAACAAGCTAAATATCTAGCAATCAATTATCAGCCTATCTACTATCAATTCAAAAACAAAAATGTAACTTTTTCTTCTGATTTCCTACAACTTCTCGGCAACCAAACACATCAAGCACAAAAAGCAAAAAAGGAAGAAGATTGAGTAGCACGAACCTTGGGTGTGTCTTCAGGTGAGACGGGGACGACCTCGGTCTGTAGGGGTCGCTTTGCAGTGACTTCAAACCTCTTATTGCCAAACGCTTTCCAGCTCTTCTTCTTTTCCTCGCGAGCCAGAACTTTGGAAGCGAAGCTCGGAGGCTTCAGCTTCTCTGTCCGGCCCTGTACCGATCCAGAGCTAGGACAAAGGATCGAACTCTGAATCGCCCGCATAGCCACCACTTGAGCCATTGTTGTTGCAGAGAATGGTAGAGGTTTGGAAATGCGAAGTTTTGGAGGAGGCTGTAGTGAGTTCCGAGGATTTAAACGAATGCGGGGGGAGGTTGTAGAAGTCGCCGCTAAATTAGGCGGAGGTTTTGAGGGGACAGAAAGAAGAGAGTTAAGGAGGGCTTTGGTTGTATCGAAGAAACGAAACGTAGCGCTGCTGAGTAAAAGTTGTTCAACTTCTATCAAAGCGGAGAGCTTTGTCAAAAGTGAACGGGTGGGTCACGAGACTCGTTGGTCTCATTACTCATGTTTGGGCCTCTGGAAAGAGTGGGCATATTGGGTTGGTTTGCAAATAAACCCTAAACTTTAATATTTTTCATCATGTTGGCTGATTAGCTTTACTTGATGTTACTAATTCACTAAACGTATATATTTATTACATTATGTTATACTTTCTACAAATAAAAATGATGATTATATTTTTCCCCAATACAAAAATGGTCCTAAACCCAACTTTTATTTTTATTTTTTTTGACAATATAATTTTTTTTAAGTTAAGTTTGAATCAATATTTCAATTAGCCATAATGCATAGCAAATTTGATTTATGCACTGAATTTATTTTGTTATCGGGATATAGACCTATTTCGGTGAAGTTTTTGTGCAACGAAGATAACAGATCAGCTCCACTAACAAACTGACACCTGTACAACTAAATTGCCACCTCAGCTAAAAAAGCCCACCAGAGCGATTGATGAGCGCGGGAAATTCACATCAAAATTCGCGCCACCAGAGCCATCACA